AACGAATTAGGGTGTCGGCTAGTTTTGCCTGTATGGTTGGACCCATCATTAATACTTCGTTTAACGAATAACCAGTTGTTGTCAGTGCTGGTCCGTCGAAGACTACTCTAAGTTTTGTTGTTGTGCTTTCGTTCTTGAGCACGCAATGGTGAGGCATGAAATATGTGGGGACCGATGGCGGCGGCTTCGATATAGGAGACATTTGTTGAAGTTCGCAATCCTCTTTCATAAATGATACGTATAGTGATTTCAAATCATCATTAAGTTGAAGACGTCTTTCAAGAGTCAGGAACCGCCGCAACAGCTGCTGGTATGAATCCCCAAGTAGGTGTACGCTGGGCTTTACGGGCAGCCGAACCGAATATTCGCCTGTCGCCATGCGACTATAGTTTGCATTGAAGTAAGCTTCGCAATCGATTTTCTCCTTCGTTGCTCTCCGAATAGGTTCAAAGCTGTTGTCTATTTCCCAAAATGACTATGTCATTAGTGCATCGATGATCGGTTTCCGAATCTAGTGAATTTGTTGCTGTAGTTGTAAGTGGGAATAGCTTCGACGATATACCTCGACCTCCAGATACCACCCAGCCGAGACGAGTTTTCTGCAAAATTTGGTATTTTTTCAGGCGAATTTGACCAATGGAAAGTTAATCAAAGAATATGCCGGCCATTATCAGAAGATCCACACGTTGTGTCTTGTGGAATTCGGGATCAGCAAGTGATGTCAAGCGGATAATTCGGTTGATGGTCGGTTATTGTTTGAGTTACGGCCGAGGCTAGGCTCGCGGTGAAACCGTTGTGTAGTGATGATGTTAATGCTGGAATTAACAACGAGTCCTGAATCTCCAATACCCGAAACTGCGACAGACGATTTTGATTTTTTAAGCTGTAATTGATGAGCAAGTCTCGTCATTATAAAATTAAGCTGCGAATCAGAATCGAGGATGGCGCGACATGGTACAAGAGAGTCCACGCTGTTCTGAATTAAGACAACGGCAGTCGCAAGTAGCACACATTCGTTTGAGCCGGCGTGTGAAGTGGATGAGAGTGAGTCGCTGCTTGTTGTCATGGCAACGAGAGCTGCTGGCTGTGGTGGACTAGGTGAGACTTCAGCTGCACTAGGCATTGTCTGATCTGCTTGAGAAAAATTCAGTAGCGTATGGTGCTTCAGTGAGCACCGGCGGCACGCAGAAGACTTGCATTGCTGCACGTGATCGCCTGGTTTAAGGCAATTTATGCACAGCTGAGCTCTTTTGGATTCCTTCCAGCGGTCATTTGTGCTTAAATTGGCGAACGATGGGCAAGAATAGACGACGTGGTCGTGCTTATTACAGACCGAACAGGTTTTTTGAGTAGCCTTTGAAATGATAAAGGTTTTACGAAACTTGTTATTGCTCACCTATGCGCTAGGTGTCTGTGTTACCATAGCGTGAGTCATATTCTCCAGAGTCTGGAACCTCCTATTCAAAAACGTTGCCATGTTCGTCCAAGTGGGCAGCTTCTCAGCCGGCACCTTTTCTTCCCATAGTGTATGAGTGAGAGCATCCAATTTCTGAGCTGTGATGTATTGGAGCAAAAAATCGGCAATTTGGTCAGAGGTGCCTAGTGACTGCAACGCTCGAACATGCGATACAACTTTGTCCACAAGCACCCGCAGTTCTCCTGATTTCTTGTCAGCGCTCATCCAATGCAATCCGAATAGTTCTTGAATGTGTGCCTGAAAAATTAAACGGCGATTATCGAATCTTTGAACAAGTAAATCTAATGCAATTATGTAATTTTCATCACGAATTTCGAGCGACTGGATGGTGTCCATTGCTGCGCCCTTCAGGCATGAACGAAGGTGCTGGAACTTTTCCAGGTTTGACTGCTCGGTGTCATTGTGAACAACCGTTTGAAAGATGACCAAAACGTTTGGCCACTCTGTGTATGCCCCTCCAAACGATGGCAATTGTAGTTGTGGTAGGCGCGACTTTGGTTGCTTCACCACAATCACAGATGACTGCTCTTGAGGCGGTGGATTCCTCGTTGAAGACATAAACTGGGGATCCATCTTATTCAACTCCCTTGTAAATGCTGCCTTAGCTCGTATGAAAGTGGCAGCGAACTCATCCCGAGTGCTGGTTTCCATCTCGTTGGGGTCTTCTTCCTCCAATTGAGATTGTGTTGATTCGAACTGATCCTGAATACGATCCAGCTGTTCCAATCTAACTGATAGCTCAGCGTGATCCATGGCGCTGAGTTCCTCTGAATTAAAAGGTGTCAAACTTAATTGCCGCAGCAAGGCTTCGCCTTTCCTTTTTAAAAACCACTATTTGACCGATTGTGTATAGTCGAAGGAATTGACTGCTAGACCCTTTGTTAAACCGAATTGTTGCGCGGTAACTGTTTGCTTGGCAAACAACGAAAAATGTGTACAGCCAATTTAACTGTTGAATCGCGTGATTTATATATTCTCGTTGTGCTTATGCACGGCAAAAGACGAAAATTGTTTATCAACTGCGCAAAGTTAACTGTTAAATCTGGTGATTAGTGCACGGTGCTTATGTACAGAGCAATAAAAACTATGTACAAAGGCAGGCAGGTAGCCGAGCTTATGTATCACGTCGGGGTCACCAAAAAATGTATGTAGTCGCGCAAGAGTTTTTGCGCTCAAACATATAGCGAAGATTAGCAAAATGAAATGAAACGACTAAAGTGGCGTTGTCTTGTAGACGTTATAAATGATTGTATTGTTTTCATCTTTGCTACAACTTATATATGTAATAGGTTTGCCGTGTGCAATATCAAAAAAAATGTAGTAATTGATGCCACTTCGTTATACGTTAGCGCTCTGAACACTACTTAAAACGTGGAAAACGGGGCGTCCCAATTAAATCCGTGGAACATGGATTTGAAAAATTTCAGTAAGAGAAAAAAAATCACAATCACTTTTCACTGTTATATAAGTGGTTGAAATATACGTATGTATAAATATTTAATGTGATATAAATAATATGTAAATACTGGAAAAGTATTGGTTATATATCACTGTCTAGACAAATGCAACACTTTTCACTGTTATATAAGTGGTTGAAATATACGTTTGTATAAATATTTAATGTGATATAAATAATATGTAAATACTGAAAAAGTATTGGTTATTTATCGCTGTCTAGATAAATGCAATTAGGAAATTTTCCCTACTGGGTTGCATCTATCTAAATATCTTGAACTCCTTATCTCGTTGGAATATTGGGCGTTAATATTCTTTGTTAGCACGTATGTATGTTTGTACTAGGTATGCCAAAATATGAGGAAAATTGTGGTCCCGGGATTTCGGGATATTTTTCCCGGGATTCTCAATGAGTCACAATTTTTATGAATATGAGTAAAAATTCAATATCTGAAAGCATTTAAACTTACCATGAAATAAAATTATTTAAAATTTACGATAAACTGATTGCAAAACTCACATATCGCTAGCTTAGAGTGAAAAGTTGCTAACTTCACTTTTTATGAGAAACCATATTTTGATACGGGAGGCTAGATAAATTAAAAATGCATCGTTTCGAAAAGGGTAAAGGAACTTGTTTTATGTTTTCCAGTTTATATTCAATGATAGAAAAATTGGCAAAGTCCAAAAAAAGCTCCGAAAATTCGATAAGGCCAAAATAGTTCGAAATATTTTAATAAAGATCGCATCCCTCTGATTCGTATCAACTTTTTCCTTAAATTTAAACAGGCAAAATTTTGTATTCAAAATTTTGCGAAATGGCTATAAGAGGTTTTTTACTCTCCTGTACAATTTTTAAATTGTATTTTCAGCTAGCGATATTTATTAAATCAGAAAAATTTTAAAGTAACACATTTTTTAAACTGTATTTAAAAAACCATGTGATTGAGCAACGTATACATCACAAATAACAACGTAAATACCTGGTACTTTTGAAAGTAATGATTAATAAAACAGGCTTGAGTATAAGGTACTCATGAAATTTCATGTATAAACATACTAACCGGCCTTGGATGCGCGAGGCTTCGCCACGCGCTGACTATATGCATATATACATATGTACATTTACGTATTTGGAGAAAGAAATCATATGTCATTATATACTTCGTTTGTTAAATACATAAAAAAATTTGTCTAAATTCGTTCAGTAGCGTGGTTAAAATATCTCGCCTTTCCTTTATACTATGTATAGAAGATAGTAACTTTAAATAGGTGGCAACCCTACTCAATAAACTTAAGGTTTTTGTACATGCGAAGGCCATGCGCTTTCATTTGGCATCTCATTTTTTTATCCAACGAACGGTGAAGATCTTATAGTTTTTAAACAGGTGGCAACCCTACTCAGAAAAATAATACATTATTACACATTCAGAGGCTAAGTCTTTTCATTTGACAGTGAAGGTGCAGAACTGACGCCTACGCTTATTAGAATTGAATATAGTAAATTTCTTAACAGGTGGAAACCCTATTAAAATTCTAAATTAAAAAGGTCACTCTCCTATTGATACAGAATATATTAGAGAAAATCTCGTCAAAATCCCTTTAGTAGTTTTCGAGAATACCGCGTACAAAGAATAACGACTTTCCTTTATAACTATATGTATAGATGCGTACGGCAAAGCGTAAAAGTATCCTTATATGTATATACAGGGTGTCCCAGAAGTAACGTGCCAAACTTTAGGGGAAGGTAGGTGGGGGGGTGAGCTCCCTGATAAACAAAAAATTTTCAGGTAAAAGTGTCACCGTTATTGAAATGTTTACATTTTTTCGAATTTAAAAAAAATCGTGCCTTTTCATGTGTTTTCTTTAACTGCAACTACAAACCGGGCAATACTTAGTAAATTTTTTATGTAAAATACTTCCAGATAGTTGCCTCTCCATACTCAAATGCAATGTAGTTGAAATATATTAAGGAACCATCATAAAATTAGGACTATTTCTGGATTTTTAACTTTTTGATATTTTCTTCCCAAACTTTGACTATCTCGGGTGAAAAAAATGTACTGAGCTATAACTTTACATTATCTAAAAAAATTGCTCATTTAATAAAGATTTCAGAAAGGTGCCACACTTACTGTTTTGAATAGAAAAAAAAGTTAAAGCCGCTTTTGTGGGTAAAGGACTGAGACACGCTAGAATGTATTTAATAGATTTAAATTGAATTTGCTCTTGTTACCGTCAAATGACATGCTAAATAGTACAAAGGTACATAATTACTTGCTTCTGACATTATTTTGTGTTACTTACCGGAATTCGGACTAGAGTCTATAACAAGGGCTATATCTATCAATATTTTGTGTGAAGGATGGGTTCACGTGAAATAAGATATACATGAGTTGTTTGAGGAAAAATTTATTCATTTATTGATAAAATATGCTCAAATTGGCGACCTTCTACTCTAATACAAGCTCGGCACCTTTTAAGAAAAGACGCTTTTAGAGATCTTAAACTTAATTGGGCTATCTCAGCAGCAGCTCCATTTATTTGTTCCCGCAAATGCTCTTCGTTTTGAATTGTTTTTGAATAAATTTTGTCTTTAAGACAGCCCCAGTAAAAAAAATCTAATGGATTCAGGTCTGGCGATCGAGTACTAAGTATTGCCCGGTTTGTAGTTGCAGTTAAAGAAAACAAATGAAAAGGCACGATTATTTTTAAATTCGAAAAAATGTAAATATTTCAAAAACGGTGACACTTTTACCTGAAAATTTTTTGTTTATCAGGGAGCTCACCCCCTCCTACCTTCCCCTAAAGTTTGGCACGTTACTTCTGGGACACCCTGTATAATCTCAATCAAGGCTCGTTAGTTGTCAAATTGGTTGTGCTTGTTATCCTCGCAACTCGAGGAAAAGTTAAGCTTCTTCTCTGTGCCACCATGATCACTTTTTTCTGCTACACAAAATATGCTATTAAAATATATTTTAACTTAATATTTTATTAAAAATACCTTTACAAACCTCTATTCCCTACTAATTATAATTTTGTAGGGCTAATCTCTTCTTCTAATTACAGATAAGGGAGTTAAGAGCGAAAATTAGGATAATAATTTTATATGTAAACCTATTATTAGGGAATCCAGTTACATACATACACATGTAGGTTAGCTTAGAAATTAGATATTAACTTCACTTAATTTTATTAATTTTGCTGATTTAATTTTTTTTATTCATTTTTCATTCGTTTAGTACATAAAATTATCGGAATGATTGATAAAATATGATACTTATATATACTTGTGAATTAAGGGCGTCAAAATATCTTGAAAACACTGCATCAATTACTGTTTTTGAGCTTATAGTTTGAACATTTCTATTTGTATATATTCCTAAATTTAGCTTTTCTTTTAGGAATATAATCTGTGGTCCTTCTTCATCTGTCGCTAGGTTTACGTTAAAGTCATGAATACAAACAACATACCATGTTTTGTTTGCAAAATGGGAAGCCTATTTCATTTGTTCGGCATTTCCTCTTACTCTCGTCTTCTCTTTGTGCAATCTGGTATTAGCCCTGATCCAGTACTCAATGAACTTACAGGTTTTTACACGAACTTGTAGGAAGTTACAGGAAAATAGATCTCGTACTCCAAAATCATGTAAATGAGAGAGAGGGCCAAAAAGTTTTGGGATAGTAGATAAAATTTTTCGCTTTGTGACAGCATTTGATGTCAACGCAGGCAGAATGGTGTAAGAAAATTTATCTGTGTGTGCGTTCCATTGTACACAAAGAGTTTTGGTTGTGGAAGCACTCTCAAATTTCAAAAGGTTGAAGGCGAAAAGATCCTCCTTTGAAAATTTGTCTAAAATGGCCAGATGATCGGCCGTTAGTTTCTTGAGTATGAGACCAGCTGACTTCACCGCTTTGATCACTTTAACAAGTGTCATCTGCTGATTGATGCAGGGTACGGGTAGCGAGGTATGATGTAAAATTAACGCCGAACGTTACGGTTTTGAAATTGTAATCGGGGACAGGAGAGTCAGCCGATGTGCGAAATAAGATTCGCTGAAAATCTTTATCGTTCTCGTGGATGAGTATTTGACGATATATTTTTTCAATGTCTCCATTGTACAAGAATCTGTGCATTCGCCACTGCAGAATGAGCGTCATAAGATCTGGTTGGAGTGTGGGACCAGTGTTCAACACGTCATTCAGGGATTTTCCTGAACCAAAGGTTTCTGAGGCGTGGATTACCACGAGAACTTTGGTGGTCACCTTATGTGGTTTGACGATCGAATGATGTGGCAAGTAGAAATAAAAATATTTGCCATTAGATATGATCTCGCATGGCTTCGTGTGCTTCATATGACAGAGATTGAGATATTCTTTCTGAAGCGATCAATCCATACTGAAAAACTGCTGAAGTGCCGCAGACCGAAAGTTTTGTAGGGAATTTTTCCTTGAATGGAAGTCGCACAATGTATCGACCGTTTGGGGCACGAGTCATTGTTGTTGCATATATGTAGTTATATGTTCACATGCCTGATCTGCAGATGAAATTTGTGGAGGCTCCTCTTCCCAGTTCTCAGCTGAGAGCTAAGAGTCCCATTGCAGCAATCCTCTACTTGTGTCGAGAATGACACCACATTTTCTGTTATTGGACCACTGAGAATCCTGCCATTTTTGTTTGCGCAAATAAATTGTCGTAAACCTTTTGTATACCTTCCAGCAGGTTTTTTGGAAGGATATCACTGCCGATTTCCATTCCAGCTTGAGCTGGTATGTGTCAACTTGGGTAAGCAAGTTCAAGGATTTTGAATCGCTGCCAGTTTTCACGATTAATGGTGANGATTTCCATTCCAGCTTGAGCTGGTATGTGTCAACTTGGGTAAGCAAGTTAAAGGATTTTGAATCGCTGCCAGTTTTCACGATTAATGGTGGATATTGGCATGTGCCTCGTGAGTTGAGGTAACACGATAGCCTGTGTATTTCGCCGTTGCATGGTTTTGGGTGCAACCAATGTTTATGGACAAAGTTTTGAGGAGCTTTGTACAACGTGCCCTCCCATGCCGGAAATTTCGATCTGGGAATGCTCGTATGGCAGTTTCAACCGTTTCAGAACTTTCGGGGAATGAAAGTTCTTTGTAAGCCTTGATCAGTTAAGGTTCTAAGTTGAAACAATTGCCCCTCGTGTTCTACTGCGGCCATGACAGTTGGAAGGAGAATTTTGCTATCATTGTCGGTGTGCAATGATTGTATTTATGCCTGATTGGAACGCGCTTGTCAAGCGGGAGGAGTAGACTGGGCAGTAGTGTGTTGTGAGGCGGTTTCATTCGTTCGTGCACGGGAGTGTCGAGATTGTGGTTTGGAATTCATGTGCATCAGGGAGTGATGCCGTTGTTGGCAATGTGTACATGACCACTTGCTAGGACACTCATTAGTGCTGTGAGTATTACCAAGGCAGTTTTTGCACAGCTTGGTTTGGTTTGCGAATTGTACTCGATTCGGTACCGAAATTCGCTTTAATTGCGGGCAGACTCTAATTCGATGCAGTAAGAGCAAGTAGTGCATCACTCAATTTTGCACAGTACCTCATGATACTGCCACGGTCCGCTATGAGCCTTCGAGCGGATGAGTCAAAAGTGGTAGATTTCGGGCGCGGTGAGGGTTCCCTCTTACCGCCGGTAGCTTTTTGTGAAGCACCTTCTGACCTTGTCTCCATTTCAAACATTTTTGGTGGACTATGTCCAAGTGGCATTTTTAATGTCGTGGAAGGTCACATGTATTCAAATTTAAAGAAGATTTAATAAAATTTTACTGAATCCCACCCAGATAACGTTCGCCAAATAATAAAAGAATCTTTCTAAAATAAAAAAATTGGCCTATGTGCCAATGTGTGTTTTTGTTTTTTTTTTCCTGCAAATTTCGTGAAATGTAAAACGTGGAAAACGGGGCGTACCAATTAAATCCGCGCAATATGGATTTGAAAACTTAAAAATTAAGAGAAAAAAGAATCACAAACACTTTTCACTGTTATATAAGTGGTTGAAATATACGTATGTATAAATATTTAATGTGATATAAATAATATGTAAATACTGGAAAAGTATTGGTTATTTATCACTGTCTAGACAAATGCAATACTTTTCACTGTTATATAAGTGGTTGAAATATACGTATGTATAAATATTTAATGTGATATAAATAATATGTAAATACTAAAAAAGTATTGGTTATTTATCGCTGTCTAGACAAATACAATTAGGAAATTGCATCTATCTAAATATCTAGAACTCCTTATCTCGTTGGAATATTCGTGCGCTAATATTCTTTGTTAGAACGTATGTA